GAGACGCAGTCTTACTCTGTTGCCCAAGCTGGAGCGCAGAGGTGCGATTTTGGCTCACTGCAACCTCTGCCTCCTAGGTTTAAGCGATTCTCCTGCCTCAGCCTCATGAATACCTGGGACTACGGGCGCCTGCTAATTTTTTTATTTTTAGTAGAGACATGGTTTCACCATGTTGGCCAGACTGGTCTCGAACTCCTGACCTCATAATCCGCCTGCCTTGGCCTCCCAAAGTACTGGAATTACAGGTGTGAGTCACTGCTCCTGGCTGGTTTTTTTTGTTTTGTTTTGTTTTTTTGAGACGGAGTTTCACTCTTGTTACCCAGGCTGGAGTGCAATGGCACGATCTCGGCTCACCGCAACCTCCACCTCCTGGGTTCAGGCAATTCTCCTGCCTCAGCCTCCTGAGTAGCTGGGATTACAGGCACGCGCCACCATGTCCAGCTAATTTTTTGTAGTTTTAGTAGAGACGGGGTTTCACCATGTTGACCAGGATGGTCTCGATCTCTTGACCTCGTGATCCACCTGCCTCAGCCTCCCAAAGTGCTGGGATTACAGGCTTAAGCCACCGTGCCCGGCCCACTGTTTTGTTTTTTGAGACGGAGTCTTGCTTTGTCACCCAGGCTGGAGTGCAGTGGTGTGATCTTGGCTCACTGCAACCTCCATTTCCTGGGTTCAAGCAATCCTCCCACTTCACCCTCCTGCTAGCTAGGATTACAGGCATGTGCCACTATGCCCAGCTAATTTTAAAAAAATTTTAGTAGAGACCAGGTTTCATTATGTTGGCCAGGCTAGTCTTTAACTCCTGACCTCAAGTGATCCACCCACCTCAGCCTCCCTTAAGTGCTGGGATTACAGGCGTGAGCCACCAAACCCAGCCTCAAAGCCTTTGATTCTTACTAATAAATATCCCCTCCTTTTCCTCCCACTCTCCTTCCAATGCTTTACTGATAGAAAATGAGACAGAAACATGTAAATCAGCCTTAGGGTGCCAGGAAGTCCAATACATAATCTGACAGAGAAGCAAGATTAAGGTTTCGCCAGGCCAAGAACCAGAAAATAGGGTCTTGCACAAAAAATAAATTAGATGAACATGTGGACTGTATTTGTCCTTGACATTCACCTAGGAGTACCTAACATCAGTTTGGGAATCAGCCAGGTTAGCATTCAGGGATGAGAGAGATGACACGGGTTGATTTGATAAAGCTCATGGTTTGAGAAAGTAAGGCAAGCCACCTGGTGGGAAGATGCTTTATCCTGAGAAACAGATGGGACTCAATCAAAGCTGAAGGCTAGACATGGCAGCACCAGTAATCCCAGCACTTTGGGAGGCTGAGGCAGGAGGGTGCTTGAGACTAGGAGTTTGAGACTAGCCTGGGCAATATGGCAAGATTCCATCTCTACAAAAAAATAAAAAAATTAGTTAGGCATGGTAGTATGTGCCTGAAGTCACAGCCACTCGGAAGGCTAAGGTGGGAGGACTGCTTAAGCCCAGGAATCGAGGCTGCAATGAGCTCTAATTGCACCACTGTACTCCAGTGTGGGCGACAGAGCCAGACTCTGCCTCCAAAAAATAAAAAATAAATAAACCAAAGCTGAGTTGCTCTTACTACACTTAAGCTGCAGAAATGTCATCTCTCCTATCAGAACTGGATAAAAGCAATGTGAATTGAAAGATTAATAGATTAATAAAGAGCACATTATTCAACAAACTTGACCTGCCTCTCTACAGAAAGGAAATGTCACAACGATAAATCTAGACAACTTGTCAAAGCTACTTTCTTGTTCTGTTAAGAAACAGCCTTTCAACACTGGACTTCAAGTCCCCAGAAGAAGCTTAGAGATCCCTAAGGGACCACCTACCTCTCCATCCAGGTGATCTAGCAAAGTGCACATGTTAGACATCAGGATAGCTGGGACACGTTCTGCTAATTCTGTCAGGAACACTGCAAAGCCCTTTGTCCCTGCAGGATCTCGACTCAACTCTTGGGGACACTTTTGTCCAATCTCTCTACACAGAGAAGAAAACACAGCCATAGCAACATAGCTCAATTATTCAGTTCCCAGTAAGGGAAGGTAAGACAGGTATCTAATATCTGAAGAAAGCTACTGTTGCACAGACAATATATTTCCAATATTTCTTTATTCCCTCCCTGAGGAAAATGAGCATGAGAAGCTTTGAGATGGAAGAGTCACCTTACAATCTCTCCCACTATGCTCTTCATTCCATAGTCAGTTGCCCATAGACTCACAGCTGCGACCAGTACAGGTGCCAGGTGTTCAAAGTGCTGCAGCATCTGGATGATCTTCACCGTGGCACCTGTGGAAGCATTAAACATGAGAAATTATGGGCAAAATGAAAAAAGGCAGGGCAAAGTGACAGGTAACTTACTGAGCATATGGTTGTAACGGGTCAAGGCTACACCAAGCAGGTGTGTTATGGCTTCCCGAGTGGGGCGGTTCTTCTGGTGACTAATAGTGGGATTCTCCAGAAGGCGGTAGCAACAGCCAGTAACCAAACTGCGAAAGGAAGAGTTTGAGAGGATGAAAGCAGCTGTCTGGATCCACTTATATTGGCGCCCCGCCCTGCCTCATTCATTCCGTCCCCACTGCTCCCAAAGTCAGGGTCTTCTAGTTTTCTTTATTCTAGCTATGACCTTCTATACCAGGTTGCTTTGCTTTGCTGACCCCACTTAGGTACTCCTTCTTTCAAGATTACCAACTTTCAATCAGTTGTGATGCTGACAAAGAACCTGGATATACGATAAAAGTACTACAAAGTCACCAATGACTTCTCATCCCTAAATATAACAACTGATTCAATCCTCATCTCAATTGATCTTTCACAGCTGCATGTGATACAGTTACTCACTTTCTTCTTGAAATAAATGCTTCATCTGGCTTCCAGGACACAAGAACAAGACTCCTTTCTCAGTTTCTTTGGCGACTTCCTCACACTCTTTTTTTTTGAGACGGTGTCTGCCTCTGTTGCCCATGCTAGAGTGCAGTGGCACGATCGCAGCTCACTGCATCCTTGACCTCCTAGTAGCTCAGGTGATGCTCCCACCTCAGCCTCCACCATGCCCAGCTCATTTTTCTAGTTTTTGTAGAGACACGATTTCACTATGTTGCCCAGGCTGATCTCAAACTGCTGGCTCAAGCAATCCTCCTTCCTCAGCCTCCCAAAGTGCTAGGATTATAGGCGTGAGGGCGTGCACCCAGCTTCCTCACTCTTAATTAATGCTGGAGTGGCCTAGGGTACCAGTTCTTGGATTTCTGCTCTCTTTTGGCTACACTTACTGATTTCATTCAGTCTCACAGCTTTGAATACTATTATATTCCCAAATGTGTTATCCCTAGCTCAGACCTCTCTCCTGAAGTGCAGATCTATATATTCAACAGCCGAATCTGACAACTTTATGTGGCTGTCTAATAAACACCTCAAACTTTGTGTGTCCAAAACAGAACTTCTGATCTTCCTCCCAAAACACCTATTCACAGCCTTTTCCTTGTCTCAGTTACCAGTAACTCTAGTCTTCCAAATGCTCAGGCCAAAACCCGGGAGAGTCATCCTTCATTGGACTCTCCCTCACACCTCACACCCAGTCTGTTAGCAAATCCTGTAAGCTCCACCTTAAGGAAAAAGTATAGAGCCCAATTACTTCTCCCCCATCTCCACTGCCATGCCGTGGTCTAAGAGACCATCATCTCTTGCTTGAGTTACTGGATAAGCCTAATGGGTCTCTTGCTTCCCCTTTCCCTCCATAGTTTATTTCAATATAACAGCTAGGATGGCCCTGTTAAAGTACAAGTCAGATCACCTCACTGCCCTGCTCGGAAACCTCAGGGCTCCATCTCACTCTGAGGAAATGCCAAAGACACCATGATGGCTCACAAGAACCTGCGGTCTGGCTCCCCACTGCTCCCATGGCCTCACAGCCTAGCCCTCTTCCCTGTTCTCAGCTGTCAGCTCTGGCATCCTTGCTATTGCTAGTACATGCTGGACACACTCCCTCCTCAAGGTCTTCACATTTGCTGTTCCTTTTCCTTGCCCTTGCTATTCCACCACATATTCTCACAGGCCTCATTCACCTCCTCTGGGTCTTTGCTCAAATGTCACCATCTCAAAGAAGTCTTATTAGAGTAGCTGATTGATTGATCTATCTATCTGTTTTATTTATTTATTTTTTTTTGAGACAGGATTTTGCTCTTGTTGTCGAGGCTGGAGTGCAGTGCTGTGATCTCAGCTCACTGCAATCTCCACCTCCTGGGTTTAAGTGATTCTCCTGCCTCAGCCTCAAGTAGCTGGGATTACAGGCACTCGCCACCACACCCAGCTAATTTGTGTGTGTGTGTGTGTGTGTGTGTGTGTGTGTCTCTATGTGTGTTTTAAAGTAGAGATAGGGTTTCATCATGTTGGCCAGGATGGTCTTGACTCCTGACCTCAGGTGACCCACCTTCCTTGGCCTCCCAAAGTGCTGGGATTACAGGTGTGAGCTACTACGCCTGGCCTAGAGTAGCTGATTTATAAATCACAACCTTTTTCCATCAAACTTATTTTAAAAACAGACTCTAAGAGGGCAGAAACTTTTGTTTCCAGTGCCTATAATGGTGCCAGCTCCACATCTAGGAGATTCTCAGTAAATACTGTTTTAGGAATAAATAAATGCGCATTTAGAGATGAAAGGACTTCATATGACTTTCTAACATTTCATTATCCAATTCTTAGCAACTCCATGTTATGATTACAGTTTTATTACAGATAGAATTGAGGGATGATGTAATCCCAGCACTTTGGGAGGCAGAGGCGGGCGGATCAAAAGGTCAGGAGTTCGAGACCAGCCTGATCAACATGGTGAAACCCCATCTTTACTAAAAATACAAAAAATTAGCCAGGTGTGGTGGCAGGCACCTGTAGTCCCAGTTACTTGGGAGGCTAAGGTAGGATAATTGCTTGAACCTGGGAGGCGGAGGTTGCAGTGAGCCGAGTTCACGTCACCACACTCCAGCCTGGGTGATAGAGCGAGACTCAATCTCAAAAAAAACAGAGAAAAGTTAGCTGGACCTGGTGGCAGGCACCTGTAGTGCCAGCTACTCGGGAGGCTAAGGCTGCAGTGAGCTGAGATCGCACCACTGCACTCCAGCCTGGGCGACAGAGTGAGACTCTGTGTAAAAAAAAAAAAAAAGAACTAAGGGATGAAATGAAGTATTAAAAGGCAGATCAGCCGGGTGCAGTGGCTCATGCCTGTAATCCCAGCACTTCGGGAGGCTGAGGTAGGTGGATCACCTGAGGTCAGGAGTTCAAGACCAGCCTGGCCAACATGGAGAAACTCATCTCTATTAAAAATATGAAAATTAGGCCAGGCGCGGTGGCTCACGCCTGTAATCCCAGCACTTTGGGAGGCTGAGGCGGGTGGATCACGAGGTCAAGAGATCGAGACCATCCTGGTCAACACGGTGAAACCCCGTCTCTACTAAAACTACAAAAAATTAGCTGGGCATGGTGGTGCGTGCCTGTAATCCCAGCTACTCAGGAGGCTGAGGCAGGAGAATTGCCTGAACCCAGGAGGCGGAGGTTGCAGTGAGCTGAGATCGCACCATTGCACTCCAGCCTGGATGACAAGAGCAAAACTTCATCTCAAAAAAAAAAAGGGGCATATCTAGCAATAGAGCCTCACTCTCACAGCTCAGTATTATCTGTAGCCATCCTCCCTACCCACCTGACAAATTCTTCTTCAATTATTGAGTGGTTCCACAGGTGACGGATGTCCAGCTGAAGTAGCTGTGTTAAAAGCTGAAGAACTGGTTGCCTCTCTTCTTCCCAGTCAAAGCCATGGGCTGCCTTGGTCCGAGCTTTCTTACCCTAAAAAGGATCATGTATACATTGAGGAAAAAATAAGGGAACAAAGAGGGTCAAGATCTGCCAGTCTGAGTGCCCAAATAATCCAGTATCAAGACAAGACAGAAGGTAATACGGAAGAAGTGTTACATGTTCCACAGTGCTATCTGTCTAGGAAGAAAATGTGTGATAGTTTTGGGTTCTTCCTCCTAAACTCTCAATGAGGACAGGAAGGATTCATAGGATCACTGGATTCCCCTGTTTCCCATCCGTTCTCCTATCTCCCCAGACCCCATATAAAGTGAGCCCAAAACTCCAAATTTACCTTCCCACCAAGGTCCAGGTCCATGAGGTTTGCCTGGCTGGTCATGGTCTCAAAGGATTCCAAGAGTCGTATCAGAGCATAACAGTTCATTTTGAGGGCATTTAGATGAGCATTTCGATCTGATACACTCAAGGTTGTATCATCCAGTATAGCTGGAAGCTCCTGGGAGTGGCGGGATACCACTATGAGGGGCAGAATGTTGGAGTCAGTTTCACTCACTTCTTTCATATACCCCAACTTCAAAACACCCAGCACTTGCAGCCATCAGATTACCAAAGATCTGTGTTTCATCTCTCAGCGGTCATAATACAAGCTAAGTCCTTTGGGACCCTTGGCCATGGTACCCTGAACATGCCCTGTTCCTACTCTCTCCCTCCAGTTACCACAATTTCTCTCCAGCAACTGCAAGAATCACCCCTATTAAAAAGAGGTAGCTCAAAAGTAGGAAAAAGTTCTTGTTGGTCTGCCCTTACAGTGAACACACATAACTCTGTATCGCCCACCAAGATTACAGACCTTTAAGAGGCCAAAGGTCCCTGGGCTTAGCCAAACCAACTGAATCACAACAGCCTTGATATCATCATGTGGCTGATAAGATGTAGGAAATAATAAACAAACAAATGACAACAAACACCTTCCATCCCCTACCCGCTGACCCACAAACACCTTTTATCAGGAATTCCAGAGTATCTTCTTTGAGGCCAGGGTCTATACTTCGAAAGTGACTATGAGGGAAAGAAAGTGTGGGGGTGAGATAGGAAGGAGACTGCAGAGCCCTTTCTAACAGATCAGATCTAACCTGTGGATTCTAATGTTTAAAAACACATGTGAAATTGTTCAACTGAATAAATATGTGGCAAGCTGGGCACACGCTCATCAGTAGAGATATCAATACCCAGAAGCATTTATCAGGGAATCTGTAACTTAGGAAATTTCAGGACTAACATGCACAATTAGGACGAACAGCCACCAGTTCTTTTCAAAGTACCAGCTGGGTGTTTCACTTACTGTAAAATGCTGTAGATAGTATCAAAGTGCTCCAGCATAGCCAGGGGCCCCTGAGCTCGGAAGGCAGCCTGAAATGCTATGAAGATGAAAAAATTAATAAATTTGGAAGAGGGAGAGGACTTTTTGGTAAATTCCACCCATGGCGGAAAACTCAGTTTGTTGCTTTTATTGGTAGAATCACGCAAAAAAGAGACAAACAGTTCACTTCAGTGTAACCTATAATGATGATGATATATTTGTGTTACAATTAGAGCCTTGTTTGAGCTTCACCACACCTGAGCTAAAGGAGACAGTATTAAACCTATTTTACATCTTGGAGTGGCTGTATGACTTGTCCAACTTATAGTAGTTAGGAGTGAACACAAACTCAGGATCTTAAAAAAGAAAAAAAAAGTGTATCCATTTATGTCCTTTTTCTGCTGCAGGATCCCACAATGCACTTAGTTGTCAGGTCTCCTTAAGTAGTTAAGTTTTGAGGGAGTCGAAAGTTATATATGCAGACTTTTTACTACACAGGGGTTGTCGTCCCTAACCCCCATGTTGTTCAAGGGTCAATGGTAGGTATGAATGTCAAAGCTGAAGGAGATAATCCATGCAAACCAGTCAGAACAATACTTAGCACGTTACATGGTTTGAATGTGCCCCCATAATTCGTATGTTGGAAACATAATCCCCAACATGACAATGTTGGAAGGAGAGGTCTAATGGGAGGTGTTTAGGTTATGAGGGCTCCACCCTCATGAATATATTAATACCATTATAAAAAGGGCTCTAGGGAGCAGGTTCATTTGTGCCTTTCTGCCTTCTGCCTTGCGACAATGTAGTAAGAAGGCCCTTGCCAGTTACTGGTGCATTGATTTGGGACTTCCCAGTCTCCAGAAAAAACTGTCAGCCAATAAATTTCTGTTCATTTTAAATATCCAGTCTCAGGCTTTCAGTTATAACAGCATAATTTTTCTCAGTCCATTTTCTATACATCGGATTTCCATTGTTGAGTTCATATCACATATTCACTTCTCTGTTCTGCTTTTTAAAATTTAGCATTACAAAAAGTGTATTAGAAACCTTGGTAAACAATTTTTTTTTTGAGACAGGGTTTTGCTGTGCTGCCCAGGCTGAAGTGCAGTGGCAGGATCATAGCCTGCTGCAGCCTCAAACTTCTGGGTTCATGCGATCTTCCTGCCCCAGCCTTCGGAGTAGCTGGGACTACAGGAAGTGCCACCACACTCCGCCTTGTATCTATCTTAAGTTGCTATTCCCCTATTGTTAGATATTGTGATACTTCTTATTCCACCAATTAACAACAACAACAACACACACTTCCCTGGCAAATCTAGGTTAAATCAACTTTCTGTTTACTCCATTCATGTAATCACACAAATAAAAATGGCCTGAGAAAAACACACAAGCATGCCAACTACTCTTACGTTAAACTCATGACTACTAATCTGAAGTGGGCCTTCATACGCCCAAGTCTATTCACTTTCTTCTAGGCAATTATTTCACACCTATCCTCTGCTCATAACACCATGATCTTCCTCCCAAACTCACTCTGTTAAAGGCTTTCCCTTCTTTTTCTTTTTTCCTGTGGTTTTCTTTTTAATTATCTTAAGTCTTACGATCACACATCATTTTAAAATTTGTGTATATCTCCTCTACTTTAATCCTTTTAAGTTGGCAAAAGCACCATTCCCAATCACAAATACACAGCAGTTGTACGGCTTTGTTTCTGAATGGCTGTTTAAAGACAATCCTAAATTATAACTTAGTTTGACTTAGATTGTAAAGAATCCAAGAGTGAAGTTTGATTGGCTACTATTTTAAAAGGATGTGACCTTACAGATCATCTATAAAATGTGTGAAGTGTTATTTTGATATTACACATAAACCACACAAAATGCCTTTCAATAAGTAAAAGGAACCATTTTAAATACAGGGAATTCTAATTAGATTGGCATAGTTAAGGCCAAATATAAAGTAGCCATTGCTACCCATTTATCTTCAACCCTTGCCTTTAAGACGCAAATGAACACAAAACACAGATGAATCTTGATTGGTTCTGAAACAGTGAAGGAATTTCCCCCATATTTAAATATATTCACATAACCAGTTACAGTATATAATCTAAATATAAAACCGATCTCCAGTAAGTTTTAAGATGGCACTCACCATCTTTGCGAAAAGTTTAACATTACTAACAAAGTCGAATCATATCTTTAGAAGGGGTAAACAGTGATAGAATTTACTATTAAAATTGGAATTACTATTAGAATCCAAAAACTGAACATACTCATTTAACCACAAGCCAGTCTTAGTTTTAAATCAGGACTGCCCAACAAAATATTCTGTCAGTCATTCATGATGTAAATTCTGGTGTATGAGATCTATTAAAATATGGTACACATAAAAAAGTCATGAGACATTTGTTTTGTAATAAATAAGGCAGTGGCCAATTATTACTCAGTAGTTTTGAGATAAGCTATTAAGTCTTCCCTTTCTCCCTCCTTCTTAATGTCGACAAAGATCATTTTTGTTCCCGAGATATACTTCTTGGGATTCTCCGAATATTCCATCAGTGTATCCTCTCCCCAGATGATGCCTTTGTTCTTACTGGCTTCAGTGTTAAGTGAATCCAGAGGCCTGACCTGTCTTCCACCCAAAGATACCATGGAGATTAGGTCCAGTCTTGTGCTTGCCTCCCTTTTCCACAGTGTGACATTGGGAACACTTCTGAATAAAAATCCTCTTGCCTTTCTCAACATCACCCATATTTAATTCTTTTTCGTAGTTAGCTCAACAAAGGTTACAGCTCAGAAGCTCGATGTCCCACTCTCTAAGTCAAGGTTTTCCCTTCTTATTGAGGAAACAGAAGCAGACAGAAGAGAACTTTCGACTGCCCCAAGCTCTATATTTACCTGCACTAGTTGATCTGTGCCCATATACACTGCCTTTTTTTTTTTTTTTTGCTACTGTGGATAGATAAACTGTCCATGTCCTGTAAAGCTATTTCCTCCCTGTGTACCAAATCACATACTCTCTTACCTACTAAAGGTACTGCACCCTCTTCCTCTGCATCATTAGCTTTTCCCTCTCTGATCACTCCTATGCAACATACACACGTAATGCTGCCCATATTAAAACAAATACATTATGTAAATTCATCATCTCTAATCTCTCTCATTCCATTTTCTTTTTTTTTTTTTTTTTTTTTTTTTAAATGTTTATTTTATGTACAAAGAACTATCATGGTTTTTCATGGTAGGTGTCTTGGATAATCCTTTGAAGATCATTTAGTCCAACTTAATGAAATCTATATCCTTCGCGTACTGACGGAAACACTGGCGGCACATATTGAGACCATATTTCCGGATCAAACCGTGCCGGTTTGAACAGACTCGACAAGAGCGAGAACCCTGGCCGAATTTTCGCGGGTGACTCCAGTACAGCTGCTGGTGACCCATCTTGCTCTCAGAAAGGCAACGAGGTAAAAGCTCCATTTTCTTAAAAACCTATTCCAAGCAGGCTTTTGCCCCCAGCATGCTATGAAATAGCTTTGTCAAGGTTACCAGTGACTATGACATCAATAAATCCAATAGTTAATCTGCAGTTGACCTCTCCCCTGTTTTTGAAACGCTCTATTTATTTGGCTTCCATTTAGCTCCTTCATTCACTCTGTGCCCAATGACTGCTTAATTTCTTCTCCTGGTTCTTTGCCATCTTCCTAACTTCTAATGCTGGCCTATCTCAGGTCTTGGTCTTCAAACTGCTTCTCTCCTCCATCTAAACTCACTCCAGTCTCAAGGCTTTAAATGTTGTCTACATGCTGAGTACTAAATCCTAAATGTGTATCTTTAGCTGACACCTCTCCCTTGAACTCCACACTCACATAAACAACAATCTAAACCTCTTCCTCCCATATTCTACCCCATCTCAGTAAATGGTAACTTCATTCTAGTTGCTCAAGTCAAAAAGCCTTGTAAGGCTGGGCGTGGTGGCTCACGCCTGTAATCCCAGCATTTTGGGAGGCCGAGGCAGGCAGATCACGTGAGGCCGAAAGTTGCAGCCTAGACAATATTAGCTGGGCATGGTGGTGCACACCTATAATCCCAGATAGGTGGCTGAGGCATGAAAATTGCTCGAACCTGGGAGGCAGAGGTTACAGTGAGCCAAGATCATACCACTGCTCTCCAGCCAGGGTGACAGAGCCAACAGAACAAGAATGTCTCAAAAAAATTAAAAGCCTTGTAATCATCTCATTTCAGATTCCTTTCCAACTCTACAAATCCAATCCCATCCATCCGTATTCCTGTAAACTCTACTTTCAAAATACATCCTAAATGCAATATTTTATCACCACTTCCCCTGCTATTCCTCCAGGCCTATCTACTTGGTATTACTGTATTAGCCACTAAACCAGTCTCCCTGCTTCTTCTCTTGCCTCCTGTAGTCTCTGCTCAACACAGCAGACAGTGAATCTTTTGTTGTTTGTTTTGTTTTGTTTTGAGACAAAGTCTCTGCCCACGCTGGAGTGCAATGGCACAATCTCAGCTCACTGTAACTTCTGCCTCCTAGGTTCAAACAATTCTCCTGCCTCAGCTCCCAAGCAGCTGGGATTACAGGCGACCGTCACCGCGCCAGGCTAATTTCTGTATTTTTAGTAGAGACGGGGTTTCACCATGTTGGCCAGGCAGGTCCTGAACTCCTGACCTCGTGATCCGTTCACCTTGGCCTCCCAGTTCTGGGATTATAGGCGTTAGCCACTGCGCCCAGTCGACAGTGAATCTTTTAAAATGTTAGACCATGTCACTCCCCATGGCTTTCAAGTTTCATTCATACTGAAGTTCAAGTTTTGCCATGATCTATGAGACTCTAGAAATCAGTGCTTCTCAAACTTGTAATTGTACTCAAATTCCCTGGGGGATCTTCTTAAAATACAGATTTTCTGATTCAGCAGCTTTGAAGAGGGACTTGACATCCTGCTTTTCTAGTAAGCTCCCAGATCATGAGGTCATAATATTAACAATGCTGATCTGAGGACCACATTTTGAGGAGCAAGATTCTAGAATAATCTGTACCACTTCCTACCTAATCTCTTTTTCCTAGCTTACTCTAGGTCCAAATATTTTGGCATTTGCCCACCTCAAGGCCTTTGCATGGGCTTTTCTGTTTGCTTGGAATGCCCTTCCCTGACTATCTACATAGTTCATTTCTTTACTTTCTTAAGGTCTCTGCTCAAACGTGACGTATCAGCAAGACTTCTCTGATAATCCAACATAAAAATGGCAGGCCCTACTATCTTCTTCTTTATTTATTTGTGAGACAGAGTTTCACTCCTGTTGCCCAGGCTGGAGTGCATCGGCACAATGTCAGCTCACCACAACCTCCGCCTCCCGGGTTCAAGCAATTTTCCTGCCTCAGCCTCCCAAGTAGCTGGGACTACAGGCGTGCGCCACCATGCTCAGCTAATTTTTGGATTATTAGTAGAGACACGGTTTCACCATGTTGACCAGGATGGTCTTGATCTCTTGACCTCGTGATCTGCCCACCGTGGCCTCCCAAAGTGCTGGGATTACAGGCATGAGCCACTGTGCCCGGCTATATTATTTATTACTAAGCTTTGTATAATTAATTTTAGAGACTATGTTGCCCAGGCTAGTCTTGAGTTCCTGGCCTTAAACAATCCTCCTGCCACTGCCTCCCAAGTGGCTGGGATTACAGGGACGAGCCACCATTCACAGTACACTTATTTTTTAATTTTGAAACAGGGTCTAGCTCTGTGGCCCAGGTTGCGGTGCAGTGGTGTGATCATGGCTCACTGCAGCCTCCGCCTCCTGGGCTCAAGTAATTCTCGCACCTCAGCCTCCCAAGTAGCTGGGACTACAGGTGTACACGACCATGCCTAGCTAACTTTTTTGTAATTTTGGTGGAGATGGGGTTTCACCATGTTGACCAGGCTGATCTCAAACTCCTGAGCCCAAATGATCCACCCGCCTCAGCCTCCCAAAGTGCTGGGATTACAGGTGTGAGCCACTGTGCCTGGACACACTGTCTGCTTTTTCTCTTTGGCTCCTACAACCATCTAACATACAATGGTCCTCCCAATCCATGTTCTCAGTTTCCAAGGTTTCAGTTACCTGTGGTCAATCTCAAGTCTGAAAATATTAAATGAAATATTCCAGAAACAGGCTGGGCACAGTGGCTCACACCTGTAATCCCAGCACTTTGGGAAGTCGAGGTGGGCAGATCACCTGAGGTCAGGAGTTCAAGACCAGCCTGGCCAACATGGTGAAACCCCATTTCCACTAAAAATAAAAAAAAATTGGCAGGGCCTGGTGGCTCATGCCTATAGTCCCAGCACTTTGGGAGGCCAAGGTAGGCAGATCACCTGAGGTCAGGAGTTCGAGACCAGCCTAGCCAACATGGTGAAACCCCATCTCTACTAAAAAATACAAAAAACTAGCGGGGTGTGGTAGTGGGTACCTGTAATCCCAGCCACTCGGGAGGCTGAGGCAGGAGAATTGCTTGAACCTGGGGGAGGTGGAGGTTGCAGTGAGCCAATATCGTGCCACTGCACTCCAGCCTGGGTGACAAGAGTAAAACTGTCTCAAACAAAACAAAACAAAAAACCCAAAAAAATTAGCAGGGCACGGTGGCACTCAGCTATAGTCCCAGCTACTTGGGAGGCCAAGGCAGGAGAATTGCTTGAGCCCAGGAGGTGGAGGTTGCAGTGAGCTGAGATTGAGCGATTGGACTCCAGCCTGGGTGACAAAACAAGACTCTGTCTCAAAAACAAAAAAGTAATATTCCAGAGATAAACAATTGATAAATTTTAAGTTGTGTGCCATTCTGAGTAGCATACAATCTGGTGCTGCCCTGCTGCCTCCTGCATACCCAGGAGTATGAGTGAATCCTCCATTGCCCAGCATACCCAGGCTGCATATGCTACCCTATCACTCATTAGCAGACACCTTGGTTATCAGATCAACTGTCACAGGCCTTCCATTTAAGGAACCTTTATTTTACTTAATAATGGCCCCAGCCAGGCGCGGTGGCTCAAGCCTGTAATCCCAGCACTTTGGGAGGCCGAGGCGGGTGGATCACGAGGTCAAGAGATCGAGACCACCCTGGTCAACATGGTGAAACCCCGTCTCTACTAAAAATACAAAAAATTAGCTGGGCATGGTGGCGCGTGCCTGTAGTCCCAGCTACTCAGGAGGCTGAGGCAGGAGAATTGCTTGAACCCAGGAGGCGGAGGTTGCGGTGAGCCGAGATCGCGTCATTGCACTCCAGCCTGGGTAACAAGAGCGAAACTCCGTCTCAAAAAAAAAAAAAAAAAAAAAAAAAAAAAGCCCCAAAGTGCAAGAGTAGTGATGTTGGCATAGTTATAATTGTTCTATTTTATTAATATTGTTGTTAATCTCTTATTGTATCTAATTTGTAAATTAAACATTACCATAGGTATGCAGTTAGAGGGAAAAAAACATAGCATATAAAGGGCTTGGTGCTATTCTAGTTTCAAGCATTTAATTGGGGTCTTGGAATATATCTCCTTGGATAAGGGGTCCTGTTATACTACATATTTACTTGTTTATTACTTGTGGAGAGCCTTAAAAGGAAAAACTTTTGTCATTTTGTCTGTTTTGTTCACTGTTGTATTATCAGTGCTTAGAACAATGCCTGGCACACAGCATATGATCAGTAAATACTTGTTAAATGAATTAAATGATTTGATCTTATATTATTTAGAGGAAAAGTTATATTCAGAGTTCTAACCACCAAAATCATCAAAGGAATGCAACTGTTTTAAAAAAAGGACTCTTGGCTGGGTGCAGTGGCTCATGCCTGTAATCTCAGCACTTTGGGAGGCTGAGGCGGGCAAATCGCTTGAACTCGGGAGTTTGAGACCAGCCTAGGCAACATGGCAAAATCTCGTTACTACAAATAACATAAAAATTAGCAGGGCAAGCCAAACACTGCATGTTCTTACTTGTAAGTGGGAGCTGAACAATGAGATCAAATGGACACAGGGAGGGGAACAATACCACTGGAGCCTGTTAGGGGGTGGAACGGTGGGAGGGAAAAGATAGCTAATACGCGCTGGGCTTACTACCCTGGTGATGGGTTGATAGGTGCAGGAAGCCATCACGGCACATGTTTACCTATGTAACAAACTTGCACATCCTGTACATGCACTCCGGAACTTAAAAAAAGTGATTGTTTAAAAAAATGACGCATCATTATAATAAGTGAAGAATAATTTGTCATAGTATGCAGCATGTTCAGTTGGTGACATATATATCCACATGACATAGTGTAACTGTGGACACTGTTGGTTTGCCATCCATCAGTCAACCTCCACACTCTATCTTCTTCCTTGCTTACCAAATGGTTGATATGCTTAAGTTTAAGGAGGCTCCTAGGTAATAATCTTGATCAGTTTAGCCAGTCTGGGTAATTCTATTTCTCTTACCTGTGCCCTGTAACATTTTGGTAAACAACAGACCACATATGCGACAGTGGTGTCATAAAAATATAATAGGGTGTGGTGGCTCACGCCTGTAATCCCAGCACTTCGGGAGGCTGTGACGGGTGGATCACGAGGTCAGGAGTTTGAGACCAGCCTGGCCAATATGGTGAAACCTCATCTCTACTAAAAATACAAAAGCTGACGGGGCACGGTGGCTCACACCTGTAATCCCAGGACTTTGGGTGGTGGAGGTGGGTGGATCACCCGGGGTCAGGAGTTCAAGACTAGCCTGGCCAACACGGAGAAACCCCATCTCTACTCAAAATACAAAATTAGCTGGGCGTGGCGGCGCATGCCTGTAATCCCAGCTACACTGGAGGCTGAGGCAAGAGAATCACTTAACCTGGGAGGCGGAGGTTTCGGCGAGCTGAGATTGTGCCATTGCACTCCAGCCTGGGCAACAAGAGTGAAACTTCGTCTCAGTAGAAAAAAAAAAAAAAAAAGTTAGCCGTGCGTGGTGGCGCGCACCTGTAGTGCGCATATGTAGTCCCAGCTACTCAGGAGGCTGAGGCAGAAGAATTGCTTGAACTCGGGACATGGAGGTTGCAGTAAGCCGAGATCATGCCACTGCACTCCAGCCTGGGCAAGAGAGAGAGGGTCTGTCTCAAAATAATAATAATCATAATATAATAGAGTTGAAAAGTTCCCATCGTCTAGTAACTTATTGATGACCCTGACCCTGTGCAGGCCTAGGCTAATGTGTGTGTCTGTGTCTTAGTTTTTAACAAAAAAGCGTGGCTGGGCATGGTGGCTCACGCCTATAATCTCTGCCCTTTGGTTCATGTCTGTGATCCCAGCTACTTGGGAGGCTGAGGTGGGAGGACTGCTTGAGCCTGGGAGGTTGAAGCTGTGTGATCAGGCCACTGCACTCCAGCCTGCAACCCCAGCACTTTAAGAGGCCAAGGTGGGAAGATTGCTTGAGCCCAGGAGTTCAAGACCAGCCTGGGCAATATCATTTCTACAAAAAATAAAAAAAAAATTAGCCAGGTATGGTGGTACATGTCTGTGGTCCCAGATGCTTGGGAGGCTGAGACGGGAGCATTGCTTGAGTCTGAGTTGAGGCTGCAATAAGCAATGATCACGCCACTGCACTCCAGCCTGGGCAAGAGAGCAAGACCTTGTCTTTCAAAATAAAATAAAGAAGAAAAAGTACAATATAGAAAACTCCTTTTCCACTTTTGGACATTAGAACAAGAAGCTACCATCTAGCCTAGTGTGGTGGCCCACCCCTGTAATGCCAGCACTTTGGGAGACCAAGGTGGGTGATCATCGAGGTCAGGAGTTCAAGACCAGCCTGGTCAACATGATGAAACCCTGTCTCTACTAAAAATACAAAAATTAGCCGGGCGTGGTGGCTCACACCTGTAATCCCAGCACTTTGGGAGGCCGAGGCGGGTGGATCACGAGGTCAAGAGATCGAGACCATCCTGGCCAACATAGTGAAACCCCGTCTCCACTAAAATACAAAAATTAGCTGGGAGTGGTGGTGCGAGCCTATAGTCCCAGCTACTAGGGAGGCTGAGGCAGGAAAATTGCTTGAACCCGGTAGGCGGAGTTTGTAGTGAGCAGAAATCACACCTCTGCACTCCAACCTGGTCCTGACAACAGAGTGAGACTCTGTCTCAAAAAAAAAAAAAAAAAAAAAAAAAAAAAGTGCTGGCCATGGTGGCAGGCACCTATAATCCCAGCTACTCGGGAGGTTGAGGCAGGAGAATCACTTGAACCCGGGAGGCAGAGATTGCAGTGAGCCGAGATCACACCATTGCACTATAGCTTGGGTGACAGAGCAAGGCCCCTGACTCAAAAAAAAAAAAAAAAAAAATTAAGAAAGAATAAGAAGCTGCCATCTAGCATCCATGAAAGAAAGGCCAAGAGGAGACAAGCTGGGGCCATATTGTCAAGCTGCTGCATTAACGAACTCTTCTTCTTGTAGGTGATAACAAATGAAATAGGTTATAATCTCTATATTTACAGATGAGGAAATCAAGGCACCAAGAGAATTAAATAACTTGTCCAAGGTCAGAGTGGTAGAACCAGGATTCAAATCCAGACAGCCTGGTTCCACAGTCTTTAATCTATGTACCTCCAAAGCAACCTAACTGCTACAAAACCGCTTCCAACAAGTACAATGACATTATGAGGTCTTTCTGATAATGCAAAACGTGCTTTTCATCATTTATAGGTTTCAGTAGGCGACCGCACTGTACATATATTGGTGTTGCAGTAGTACACACATATTATGAGTTTTTTTTACCCACAATTGCACGTCTTGGAAGGAAGATATCTAGACTCTAAAAAGGTATTACAAAAACAGCCGGGTTACGTCCCAGACATTCTGAAAAAGCTATCCCCTTCCTATAACTCTTAAACCCACCAGGACTTAATTTTAACAATGGTAAGGGGTAAAGATGGAAAAAGTTTTCCCCAAAGAGTAATCATGTACACCAAGACTGTTTTTGACTCATTCAGAAAAGGCAGTTAATGAATGTACTCTGTTTCATGCAATCCATGAAATGTTATGATAAAACAGCAAAATAGGGAAAACATGTTTCTTGATCTTATGGAGCTTCCTGATGTAGTGGAACAGAAATGACAATGTAGCAACTCCATGTGGGACGGTTGTTTGGAATAGCGATACAGTGACAGCTACGGAGTCTTACCTCTAAGCTGTGATGGAAGATGTTTGATGGACAGTACCTCTTGCACAACATACTGATTCACCCCTCCACTTTTCAACAACTCCTCTGGGGATAATGGCAGATGGAACTCATACATCTGGGGGGCCATCTTCTCCTACAGGCTCACAGGGCTAGAAACCAAACAGTGAAAAGGTCAGGATCTATACTCAAGACCTGTCTTTATATCTGGTTCTATTACTTCCCCACCCCCAACATGCAAAATGGCTTTTAGTCTTACAGCAAGCTAATAACATTATCTGACAGGATATGAGATTGACCCTGGACTAGAAACTAATTCTAGTAGCAACTTTGCCACTTCATCTTGTTACTTAAACCCCTGGGCCTTATCTGTAAAAGACGGAGTGACTAATCTCTGATTACTTCACAAAGTTGCTCTGATGACCAAATGAATCAAGCAGTAGGAAGGTGTTTAAAGAACTATGAAGTGGCCACTTCATAGTTCTTTAAAGTTAGTATTATTTCCATTTTTATGTGCAAAGCTCTTAAGTACAGAGAAAATGGTCTGGTCTCATCTGAGGCTAGAACAGAGCCCCAGCAGGGGCTAGTGGGCCTCCTGCACCAGAATGGGAACAGCGTTAACACTGACGATTTATTTATCCTGTGCCAGGTCTGTTAGGCTATCTGCATATATCATACCTATCTAAGTCTCGTATCCTCAATCCTACGGGGTGCATAATAATACAACTGCGTTTACAGAGCGGGAATTGAAATAAGAAAGGTTAAGCGATTTGCTTAACATCTTCCGTTGCGGATGTGTCAGACTTACAGTTTCTCCCACATTGCGCCCCAAGGACATACCTACTAGACCTCCCTGCCTACTGTATACTGTCCAATACCGGGTCGCACAGCCATGTACTCGATTTTCCTACTCTTTTAGGACCTGCAACACCACATCTTACCTGGGGATCTCACCCGCGGATCCTCTGACTCCGGCAGTCGGGCTGAAATGAACAGGAAAAAAACACGCGTGCACAACACACACCAATCAGCGAGGCAGTTTTCAAGTTGGCGGAGAAACCGGCCAATCCCCGGCAGGCAGAGGCAAAGGCCCGCCTCTGAGTCTGGCAACGCGCGGGCAAAGCCACAAATATCGAGTTCAAATTTCAACGGCTGCAGGAGGGCCAATCGCGACGGCCGCCTGAGCGGCCGACCAATCACAGCGCCGCCCGGGGGCGGGCCAAGGCTCCGGCTCCGGCCCCCGCACCCACGCCCTACTCGCCCGCGAATGCCTCCTTGCCCGCCAGGCCCCGCTTTGCCCTATCGGTGGGGAGGCCGTATTTCTGCGGGCCAGAGATGTCGCGTCCCTGGCTGGGCAGCAGTAGTGCCCTGGAATACTGAACCATTCAATCACCTCCAGGAAAGGAGGCAAGTCCACGCTGGGAGTTAAAAGGCATCGCCTCTAATCCAGGTTTCGCCATCTCCTCCGCTAAGTGACGTCCAGCAAGTCACTTTCAGGGCCTCAAATTTCCTTCCCCGTAGTAAAATGGGGATAATAAAAACAGCTACAGCGCAAGACTGCTGTGAGGCACAGAGAAAGGGCTTGGTCTTTGGAAGCGGATTCCAGGTTCTCAACCTTCATATCCTTCACACTTGAAGGACGCCAAAGAAAGTGGAAAGGGTGAATTTTCTTGAAATCTCAGTTTTTGGGAATCTTAGCGACGAGTCGCGGACCTCAGCTAATTCAGCTCTCCAAAACCTCCGGCGGACAAACCGGAAGCACTGAGGCGGGACCCCTCGGAGGTACCCCTCTGGCCGGAACCAGGAGGGCGGGTCCTAGGCGGGTCCTGCGCCCACAGCTACCTGGGTAAGGCCCAAGATGGCTGCCTTCACGTTAGTATGCTTGTGAAGTCGGCGGGGACAGTTCCTGTCGTCATCTTCTTGAGGGCCACATTTGGTCCTCATTTTTGGGCTTGTTTGGTGTGCTGTTGAAAGGGGGACTAGAGAGATGGCAGGGAGCCTCTTATGCGGGGCAGGTCGGCGCCTGTTGGACTGGGTGCCTTTGGCGTGCAGAAGCTTCTCTCTCGGTAAGTGGCTGATGTCGACGCCCCGATAACCGCTTCATAGTATAATAGGCGGCTCAGATTTATTCCCTCCCTTCCCCATCTTCAGATGTTCCTAGATTGATCGGTATAAGGCTCACCCTCCCGCCCCCCAAAGTGGTTGATCGTTGGAACGAGAAGAGGGCCATGTTCGGAGTGTATGACAACATCGGGATCCTGGGTAAGACTTGACCCTCGACGTGGTACAGAATTTCAGAATGACAATTACGTTGCAACGACTATCTTTTCCTCCTGAGAGGAATACTGTCCTCAATAGTAAGAGCAAACACGTATGTAGCTGTTTACATTGTGTTTGGCATTGTTCTGAGTGCTCTCATATAATTTTTACTTCATAAGTGAGGAGACTGAGGAACGAACGGAGAAATCAGTTTTTCCAAAGTTAATAAATGTCAGTGTTAGAATTTTAACCCCAAGAAGTCTGGCTCCGGAGTCTGTGCTATTGATTCTGTAACGTGTCTTGTCTATAGGTGTTGCTCAGCAAGATGCAACTGTGGGTTGAAAGCTTAGCTGGTGTAGGATGGGTCCTCTTATCTTGGATCTAATGTGTTCTCACATTACACAGGAAACTTTGAAAAGCACCCCAAAGAACTGATCAGGGGCCCCGTATGGCTTCGAGGTTGGAAAGGGAATGAATTCCAGCGCTGTATCCGAAAGAAGAAAATGGTTGGACACAGAATGTTCGCTGATGACCTGCACAACCTTAATAAACGCATCCGCTATCTCTACAAACATTTTAACCGACATGGGAAGTATCGATAGAAGAGAAAGCTGAGAATTGCGGAAAAGGTTCATCTGTTAACCTGGAGAAGGGAAACTACTTTTCCCTATGAGGAAACGGCTTTGTATGCTCTCTGTAATAAAGTGGGGCTTCTTTGGAATTTGATAGTCACATAATTTTGTTTTCCTTTAATGCTGCCTCTACTCATGTAGACTATGAAGTCTTGACTCATCCTAGGTTTTAGGGTCTTAGGTTTGGGCCTCACACCACTTGCCTTTTACAGTCTACCTATACCTAATGCCTTTAAAAAAGAAAAGTTGATGAGAATGTCATCGGCACTTTTTGACATAATGCTTATAGCAAGCTAATAACAATTAGGTTAATAGTGTTTCTAAAGACCTTCCACTCTGAAATGAAATATAATAGAAAAATGGAGTTTGAATGTAAAACCTGAGGGGAGGAAAATGGAGTTATACTTCTCTATTATTCTCGTAAAAATATTTATTAGGCATTTTCTCTTGAGTAGGAACTACAGGAAAAACAAAAAAGTGTGAGGTGTTTTTTCCATTTTAATATGAAGCATTAAGTACCATGTGAACGGTAGAGATGGGGGATTCTAAGCCTGACTGGTCATCAGAGTTGTCTGGGTGTTTTAACATTTCAGAAGCCTAGTCCAGCCCCTAAAGATTGTGATCAGTGAGCTGAGTCTAGGGCATCTATGTGTTTTGTTCTTTTTTAATAGTAATTTTTTTAAATTACAGCTGGATGTAGTGGTAGCCACGTGTAATCCTAGCATTTTGGGAGGCCGAGGTGGGAGGATTGTTTGGAGCCAGGAATTTGAGACCAGTCGGGGCAACATGGCGAAACCCCTAAAAATACAAAAAAATTAGCTGGGCGTGGTTCGCCGTCCCTGTAGTCCCACCTACTCAGGAGGCTGAGGTGGGGGGATCACCTGAGCCCAGCAGTTTGATGTGATCTCAGTTTGCTGTGAACTGAGATCGTGCCATTTCATTCCAGCCCGAGCAACTGGGTGAGACCCTGTCTCAAAAAAAGTGAACTTAGGGCTGGGTGCAGTGGCTCCAACCTGTAATGTCAACACTTTGGGAGGCCAAGGCATGAGGATTGCTTGAAGCTAGGAGTTCAAGACCAGCCTGTGCAACATAGCAAGACCCCATCTCTATATTTAAAAAAACAAAAACTGTAAAAGTGAAGTTAGATTGATAAACACTTGTTGCAGGGCATGGTGGTTGGTGTGCACTTATTATCCCAGCTACTGTGCAGCCGAAGTGGGAGGATCCCTTGAGACCAGGAGTTGGAGGCTGGCCTTAGAAACATAGCAAGACACCATCTTTAATAAAAATAAAAAGTACCTGTTAAATTACAAGTGGGTTTTGGATAAATGGATTGATGGGTATATATGAAAACATGATCCTGGGTCTTAATGGAAATGTTTAGGAGAGTCAGTTTTCAGAGGGGTGGCTGGAGAGGAGCTATGAATGAGAATGGAGAGGTTGGTGTGAAGTGTGATTGGCTGTGATACTTTACATCATTTGGTGATGCTGGAGTGTAGAAAATAAAATATCTGGGACTCTGCTAAGTGCAAGGCACCCTAAAGAAGATATCTACATGTCTTGGTAGAGTATCTAATCATTAGTGAAGAGGAAATTAATAGGTCAACAGGCATTTATAGAATATTTCCTGCTCCAAAGATACAAAAGATCTTGTTTTCAAGGACAGAACAAACTTGTTTGTGGTATGAAACAGTATATGACATTTTCCTTCAATAAATACTGAATTATTATGTGCAAGGATTTTTGGAGGAACAAAAATCACCAAGGTAGGGTTGGTTCCAACCTCTAAGTAGCCTTCATTCTACTTAAAAGATGTCTGAAGGATATAAAGTTACAAGATGATGGACCAGTGTGATACTGTGCAGAATGTGCAAATGGTCCACATTTTTTAGACTACATCATGACCGAGAACAGAATTAACCTAACCCTAATGGGGCCGGGCACGGTGGCTCACGCCTGTAATCCCAGCACTTTGGGAGGCTGAGACAGGTGGATTGCCTGAGCTCAGGAGTTCAAGACTAGCCTGGGCAACACAGTGAAAACCCATCTCTACTAAAATCCAGAAGGTTAGCCGGGTGTGGTGGTGTGCGCCTGTAATCCCAGCTACTTGGGAGGCTGAGGCAGGAGAATCGCTTGAACCCGAGAAGCAGAGGTTGCAGTGAGCCAAGATCGTGCCACCACACTCCAGCCTGGGCGACAGAGTGAGATTCTGTCTCAAAACAAAAGCAACAACAAAACAAGCAAACAAAAAAACATAGCCCTGATGAAAGACCATGACTGTATATTGTTGTTCACCCCCTCCCTGGTGGACTACTTCTGACCATCTCTTGATTTAGAAAAGAATGTTAGCCAGGTGCAGTGGCTAATGCCTATAATCCCAACACTTTGGGAGGCTGAGGTGAGAGGATCAGTTGAACCCAGGAATTTGAGATCCGCCTGGGCAACGTAGTGAGATACTGTCTCTACCAAAAAAAAAAAAAAAAAAAGTAGCCAGGCATGGTGGCATGTGCCTCTAGTTTCAACTACTCGGGAAGCTGGGTGGGAAGGATTGCTTGAGCCTGGGCAGTCGAGACTGCAGTGAACCAAGCCTGTGACACTGCACCTCAGCCTGGGCAACAAAGTGAGACCCTATCTCAAAAGAAAAAGAATGTATTTGCTAAATCAGTGGTCACAAACCACAAATGTGAGGCTATGTTAATCTGTTCCAATAAAGATATCCCATCCAGCAGACAATTAGCACTGGGACTCCCACTTGGTTAAATTGGCAGCAGCTTCATCCTATTTATGCAGGGGCAAGACTGGGAAAAAAAAAAAAAAAAGAGATGTATGTAAACAAAATATGAATTTGAATATGATGATAAAAATTAGTCCCATGAGAGTTTTTGTTTGTTTTGTTTTTGCTGAGGGGATGGTCAGAAAAGGTATTTGTTGAAAAGATGGCATTAGAATGAGGTCTTGAGGCCAGGCACGGTGGCTCACACTTGTAATCCTAGCACTTTGGGTGGCCAAGGTCGGCAAATCACTAGAGCACTTTGGGAGGCTGAGGCGGGAGAATCACTTGAACCTGGGAGGCAGAGGTTGAAATGAGCCGAGATTGCGCCACTGCACTCCAGCCTGGGGGACAGAGAAAGATTCCATCTCAAAAAAACAAACAGAAACAAAAAACAAAAACAGCAACAACAAAAAGAAACAATGCATGTTTGCCAAACAAAATAACTGTGAAGTGATTTAGAATGTCATCTATGAGGAAGGAGTGGAATGGGGAAAAGGGGAATATACAAAGGAAAGAAGGCAGGGTCCTTCCATGGATAAGTGAAAATGCTCATCAGGAATTGACGAGTATTATTAACTTCATCTTCTGCACCTGAGGTCTCCTGGCAATACAATGTTCTATTTTTCATCCTTAGGGATATTCATACTCTAAGAAACACTCATATAAAAAACCACTCCTGGCTGGGCACCTGTGATCCCAGCATTTTGGGAGGCGGTGATGAAACCATTTTTGATCACTTAAGATCAGAAGTTTGAGACCAGACTGGGCAACATGATGAAACCCATCTCTACTAAAAATGCAAAAATTAGCCGGGTGGTGGTGTGTGCCTATAATCCCAGCTACTTGGCAGGCTGAGGCAGGAGAATCGCTAGAACCTGGGAGGTGGAGGCTGTGGTGAGTTGAGATCACTCCACTGCCATCTTAAAAGCAAAAAACAAAAAAAATCTCACACTCCTGTTGTTTCTTTAACTTACCAGTATCTATACCATGTCAAACACTTTAGCACATTATCAATTCCCTTTGGTATTCTTACTACCTATGACACACGTATGTGTAATGTACATGTCTAATATATGCATGTTTGTTGTTTTGGTAATTTACACATATGCTAGTTCAAGATAGCTGTATTAATTTGTTAGGTCTGCCCTAAGAAAGTACTATGGCCAGGCATGGTGGCTTATGCCTGTAATCCCAGCACATTGGGAGGCAAAGGGGGATGTGGATCACTTGAGGTCAGGAGTTCGAGACTAGCCTGGCTAACATGGTGAAAACCTGTCTCTACTAAAAATACAGAAATTAGCCCATGTGGTGGTAGGCACCTCCAATCCCAGCTACTCAGGAAGCTGAGCCAGGAGAATTGCTTAAACCTGGGAGGCGGAGGTTGCAGTGAGCTGTGATTGTGCCACTGAACTCCAGCATGGGTCTTTTTTTTTTTTTTTAAGACGGGGTTTCACCATATTGGTCAGGCTGGTCTTGAACTCCTGACCTCAGGTGATCCACCCACCTCAGCCTCCCAAAGTGCTGGGATTACAGGCATGAGCCACTGCGCCCGGCTGAGATGAAGTCTTTCTCTGTCACCCCGGCTGGAGTACAGTCAGGTGATCTCAGCTCATTGCAACCTCCTCCTGAGTTCAAGAGGCTCTCCTGCGTCAGCCTCCTGAGTAGTTGGGACTACAGGTGCCCACCACCAAGCCCAGATGATTTTTGTACTTTCAGTAGAGACAGGGTTTCACCATGTTGGCCATGGTTGGCAAGGCTGGTCTTGAAATCCTCACTTCAGGTTACCCACCCTCCTTGGCCTCCTACAATGCTGGGATTATAGGCATGAGCCACCTCACCCAGACAAAAATCTATATTTTTATTGCGATATAATTCTCACAACATACAATTCACTGTTTAAAAAAAAAAAAAAAAGCTTTTTTTGAGACTGAGTCTCATTCTGCCACCCAGGCTGTAGTGCAGTGGTGTGATTACTGCTCATTGCAGCCTCCACCTCCAGGGCTCAAGTGATCCTCCCACCTTAGCCTCCTGAGTAGCTGGGACCACAGACATGCACCACCACATCGGGCCAATTATTTTTATTTTTGGTAAAGATAAGGTTTCATCATGTTGTCTCGAACTCCTGAGCTCAGGTGATCTGCGTTGGTCTCCTGAAGTGCTGGGATTACAGACGTGAGCCACTGTGCCCGGCCAGTGGTTTTTAGTAATTTCATACCCTTACTGCAATCAATTTTAGAACATTTTTATCATTGCCTCAAAGTAAAACCCTACACTCCACAGCCTCACTCCCAATCCTCCTCTATGGATTTTTACCTATTCTGGATATTTCATATAAATGGAGTCATACAATATGTGATCCTTTATGACTTCTTTCACTTAGAATAATGGTTTCAAGGTTCACACCTACATCATAGTTTCTTTTTTTTTTTTTTTTTTTGAGATGGTGTCTCGTTTGTTGCCCTGGCTGGAGTGCAGTGGTGCAATCTCAGTCTACTGCAACTTTTGCCTCCCGAGTTCAAGCTTCTCCTGCATCAGCTTCCCAAGCAGCTGGGATTACAGGCACCCGCCACCATGCCTGGCTAATTTTTTTTCTACTTTTAGTAGAGATGAGGTT